GCTGTCCCTCAGCTCTTCAGCTCAAAGCTAGCGCTCTACCACTTGAGCCACAGCGCCACTTCCGGCTTTTTTGTTTTTGCTTATGTGGTGCTGAGGAATCGAACCCAGGGCTTCAGGCATGCCAGGCAAGCGCTGTACCACTGAGCCACCTTCCCAGCCCGTGACCATTAATTTGTCAACTGGTGCTCAGAGAGGAACACTTGGTGGCTCTGGGGATGGAACCCAAGGCCCCATACCTGCTGGGCAAAAATAGGCTGTACCACCACACCAGTTCTGATCATGGTTTCCTGATCGGGAAGAAGCTTTGGTGCCCCCTAGGGTCCTGGCCATTTCAGACCAGTGCCCTGGTCACAGTCCATCAGCTGGGCCTAGAGACCCAGGGCCAGCTCATGTCTTGCCACACTACCCTGGAAGTGGGGTTTCTAACCCCAGCAGAGATTGGTGTCTCAGTTCTTCTTCTTTTTTCCTTGCAGGACTAGGGAGGAGCCCAGGGTCTTGAAAATTCTGGCTGGGGTACTACCACTGAACTACACCCCAACCTTTTGTTTTTTGTTCATTGGTTTTTTGTTTTTGTTTTTATGTCAGTCGTGGGGCTTGAACTCTGAGCCTGGGCACTGTCCTTGTGCTCTTCAGCTAAAGGCTAGCGCTCTACCACTTGAGCCACTGTGCCACTTCCAGTTTTCAGGTGGTTAATTGGAGTCTCGCAGATTTTCCTGCCCAGGCTGGCTTTGAACCATGATCCTCAGATCTCAGCCTCCTGAGTAGCTAGGATAACAGGCGTGAGCCACTGTCACCCGGCCAACCCTTTGTTTTTTATCTTTATTTTAAAACAGGGTCTTGGCAGGTTGTCCAGGCTATCAGAACTGTTGATTCTCCTGCCTTTGCCCTCCCAGTATCTGGGATTACTAGGGGGTCCTGCCGTGCCTGGCTAGAATTATTCTTGAATAGAATGACTTACTGGCTGGCTTTATTTTGTATTTCCTTTTTATTCAGGTCCTATGGGAAGAGGAAAGAGTGGAGCGGGGATTAACAGCGAAGCAGTCCTTTGTGGACCTGGGCTGTGGGAATGGCCTCTTGGTCCACATCCTGTGCAGCGAAGGGGTGAGCCAGACTCAGGACCTGTGCGGGAGGCTCTCAAGTCAGCACAGGTCCTGCTCCTCTTTCTGCTCTGGTCTGGACTCAGTGGGGATTTGTTCTCCTAGGGTCACCAGAGGACCAACATGGGATGGGAAATTTGGGAGCAGGGGAGTGGAGGCCTCTGGAGCTGAGATCTCCTCTGTGCTTGTGTGTCCTGAGACAGCCAGTGAGCCTGGCCTGGGCAGGGAAATGGGAGTGTCCTGGGCTTGACCTTCACCAAAGCTGTGGGGCTCTGTCCTTGCTAGTGTGCTCCCTTGACTCCCCTCCGTTAAGATTCACAGTGACCGCTGGCAGTGCAGGCCTCCACCAGGGTGCCCCGCACAGCATCTCAGAGTGCTGGGGACTGTGCGCTATCCTTCAGCGCCAGGGCCTCCTGCCCCACCTGTGCAGGACCTTGGCTTGCTCCTGCCGTGTGCCAGGCTTAACCTCTGATTTCTCAACCTGATTCCTATAGCATCCAGGCAGAGGGATTGATGTCCGAAGAAGGAAGATCTGGGACATGTATGGACCCCAAACTCGGCTAGAGGTACTGGCCTAGCCATTCCCTTGATTTCCACACAGGGGTCTGTCCCCTGGTGGGGACTGTTTAAACACATCACCTCTGGGTGGGTCAACTACACTGCTTACCAGGACTGCATTCATGTTCATCTGAGCTCTCTGTGCCTCTGACCGTATAAAATAGTATTTATCAAAACGAGTTCCAGGAAATGGAAACAAGGATAAAAGAGGACTAGAGGTATGGCTCAAGTGGTAAAGTGCCAGCCTGAACTGGAGGGCTAAGCAAGAGCACAAGGCCCTGAGTTCAAGTCAAGGAACCAGCAAGAAGAGCAGACAGACCAGGACAGATGGAGGGGCTTTATATTTTGCACAGCTGCTGGTTACAGGGAAGACAGGACCTGGCCTGCAACTGAGGCCCTGCCTCCTCCCCTGTGCCTATTGTGCAGGAGGGGAGGACAGGAAAGGGGGAGGGGGAGCCCCTGCTTTGGAGGGCCGTTCTGCAGGGGATGTCTCTTTGCCTCTTCTCGTAGGCCAGCTTGTTCAGACATTGAGCAGGTGGTGGCCCACAAGGTAGCATGTTGGCCTAGCTGCCCCCCTCCCATGGTGCTGTGGGTGTGGTGCCGCTGGAGGGTTTGCTTTAGGATCTCCATTTTCACAATTCAATGCCCAGGTGAGATGAGATCAAGACGGCTTAATTAACGCTAGTGAGAGAGAAGAGTGTAGTGGGCTGTGGCCTCAGCTACCCGTGGCCAGTACTGCCACACCAGCCTTACCCCAGCCTGGTCTGGAGCACCACGTGTGGGCGCTAGCCATTTCCTGTGCACATAGAAGTGAAGCTCGAGACGCCCCTGTCTCCTCTCAACCACTTACATTCTTTATTTGTTCTACACATGCACACGATGCAGTAAGATACGTACTGCTTCTAAAACCTCAGGCTTGAAGAGTGCCCGGGAGGCTCTGGGCCTGAGTGTGTGGACCGCAGATTCAGACTGGTTAGCAGAGTCAAGCTTGGAGTTTGGGTGTGGGGTCTGAGAGCAGAGTGGGAGGACTCACAAGGAGGAAGCACTCAGGGTGGGAGGACTCGGGTGGTTTCAAGTCCCCAGTTACTGTGTCATTGGATAAGACCCTGAAGTCCCAAGGAAAGCAGTTGGCATGGGTCCCTGAGCACCTAGGTGCTAGTTGTTTCCTGGAGGTTCCCAACAGCTGCTTTGGCCCTGGCAGGAGCCATCCACCCAGAAACTTCCTAGAGCCTGCATTTGGGCCCGCTGCCAGCGAGAACTCAGGTTCAGGTCCTGTCTATTTTTCCTAGTCCCTGCCTCCCTCCTCAGTGAAGAGAGAAACAGTGTGTGGTCTCAGCGACCCCGTAGCTCCGTTAGTGTTGGTGTTCTGTCACGACGGTGGGCATTCGCTTCCTTGGTCCCGGTGCCTTGGGCGGCTGTGGAGGCCATGGCCGTGCCGTCTCATTCTCTGCCTTTCTCCAGGAAGGTGCTATCACCCCTGATGACAAGACCCTCTTCCCTGGTGTTGACTGGCTGATTGGCAACCACTCAGACGAGCTCACGCCCTGGGTGCCCGTCATCGCAGCCAGGTGAGCGGCTGGCGGGGTGCTCCTGAAGGCTATCTAGGAGATGCAAAACGACGAGTATGATTCACCTCATATCTCTGTTGGCCAGCACTGAACATTTCTATCTAGTTTGGAAAGGTGTGTCTTTTTCTGAATGGTTTTTCTCTAATAGCAAAGGTTTGTCTTCAAGAGGGAAAATCTGTTAAGCACATAGGCACTGGGCGTCAACCTTGGTTTCTTCTAAGTGGAGGCTTGGTAGTGTCGGGTGGGTGTGTCCCTTGGGGGCTGGGCACTGTCAGCGATGCTGCAGGCCCCAGGAGCCCATTGCAAAGCTAAGAGGTGCCTTAGCACTTGTTACCCAGGCTCCTTCAGCCACGGGTCTTTTATTTATTTATTTTTATTTTTTGCCAGTCACGGTGCCTGAACTCTGGGCCTGGGCGCTGTCCCTCAGCATTTCAGCTTAAGGCTAGCACTCTACCACTTGAGCCACAGCACCACTTCCAGCCTTTTCTGCTTATGGAATTTCTGCTTATGGTGCTGAGGAATTGAACCCAGGGCCTCATGCATGCAAGGCAAGCGCTCTACCACTGAGCCGCCTTCCCAGCCCCAGCCACAGGTCTTTTAAAAGGTACTGGGGAAAGCCCAGGTCTCAGCTGACAATGGAGGGCCAGGAAGTTGTTTTGTTAATTAGACACATATTTTGCTGCAAACACACTGCTATGTGGATGTTAAAGTTCCCTTGGGGGAGGCTGTCAGTCGTGTTTTATATAAGCGGCATACTGGTCATTGGCACACTGGCCATGTTGGTGCTGACCGTGCTCAGCTCTGTCTCCTGCGTGCTGCTCTAGGTCCTCCTATGACTGCCGCTTCTTCGTCCTTCCCTGCTGCTTCTTTGACTTCGCTGGGAAATACTGCCGGAGGCAGAGCCAGAAGACACAGTACCGGGAGTACCTGGACTTCATCCAGGAGGTGGGGCTCTCGTGCGGCTTCCACGTCCAAGAGGACTGCCTCCGGATCCCGTCCACCAAGAGGGTGAGTCCTGGACAGCATTGCCTGGAGGGGTATGGCACCTGGGTGGAAGGGAGGACGTGTGGGACCAGGCGCAGAGAGCCACAGTGGACACAGGCCTGGAAAAGAAACCATGGACTCATCCAGGGACTGGTGTCCACACTTGTAATCCTAGCTACTCAGCAGCCTGAGATAGGAGGTTTACAGCCTGTCTGGGCAGAGAAGTCCATGAGACATATCTCCAGTTAACCACCAAAAAGCTAGAGTGGAGTAATGGCTCAAGTGGTAGAATGCCAGCCTTGAGCAAAAAAGTCTAGGGAGAGCTCAAGTCGTGGTGCTGGCCCAAAAAACCATGGACTCACTTGATCAGAGCTGCAGGGCTTGGTGTCGATGGCAGCGTGGTATGCGCATGCCTTGTACGTGATCTGAGCCGTGCCCAGGGCCGAAGGCAGGTGCTGCTCTGCTCTGCAGTGTAAGCCACAATGGAGCAGTGCAGCGGCTCAGAGGCTGTGGCTAGATCAGCCTTCCTGCTCTGTGGGCCATGCCAGGGAGGAGGAGCAGACCTGAGATGTCCCCCGAGGTTGCTGGGACAGTCTCCACCTTCCTGAGGCCCCTGCCAGGCTCCTAGGTATCTTTGTTCTGCCAGGTTGGCGTAAGGCCTCACCCTCTGCCTTGCAGAATGCTTCAGTAGTAGAAGGGTCTGCGCCTTGGGTCAGGGCAGACAGGAATGGAACATTTTTAGGGTGTAGGTGCTAAGCTCAGTAAGTGAATAGTTGGCAGGTTGTAAATCATTGATGGCACTTGCCTGGGCTGTTCACTGTTGTCCTTTTTTATTTTTAGCTGTCTCTCTGTGTGTTTTACTGGGGTTTGACCTCAAGGCCTACTTACTTGTCTGATATGCCACATCTCCAGCCTGCTTTTGGCTGGGATTCGTTTAGAGATGAAGGGTTACAGGGTTTACTGACTGGGCTGGCTTCAGTTGTGATCCTTTAGATCTCAGCCTTCTGCGAAGTCAGAATAGACACTTAGGTTTTTATTTTTAAATCACTTACTATGGTTTTAGGTTTTGAAGTTGGGACTTTGGTGTTAGGGATGTAGCTCAGTAGCAGAGCACTTAACTAACATGCACGAAGCCTAGGCTCTACCCCCAACACTGCAAAGAATTTTAGAAAGGATGTTTTTCATGACCAACTACTCCAGAGCAAGTGGAGAACTTTGAATTAACCCATGAGCCTACTCGAATCCCATTTTGCCCTCTTTTCAAGCACAGGTCTGTCTCATTGGGAAATCCAGAACTTACCCTGCCTCTGGAGAGGCCTGGATGGATGAGCAGAGGACCCGGTACATTCGTGGCCAGCAAGGCTGCCCAGCAAGCCCTCCTGGTGGCCAGCATTCCTCTCCTGCACCCCGAGTGGTTGGCAGCAGCCTCCAAGACGGTTCTAGAGCCTTGGGTGTGGGGGCCGAGGGTGAGGCTGAGGCCAGGCCCTCAGAGCGGGGAGCCGAAGACCCTGCCACTGCCGGCCGGCCCTGGCTACCTGGATTCCGCCCCAGAGAGAGAGCCCAGCGCCCAAGGAATTGTGCCACCCTCCCTCCAGGCTTTGCTGACCAGGTGGTTTTGCAAGTGGCAGAGTTGCTGTTAGGTGGAAAGAAGCTGAACCCAATGGGTTCTCAAGAAGGAAGTGTGAAGGCCTGGAACAGCGGAGGTGGGTCGTGGCCCTCCCCTGCCCAGGCCTGTACACGCCACAGCTTCACTCCCGACCTCCTGGTAGCTAAATAGACCTGGGGTAGAGTGAATGTGCCATCTGCAAGCACGCTGTTCACAGCTGTCTTTATAGTCCTGTTAGCATAGAGGACTGGGGGTGACCTTTGACCCTTAACCTTACAGAGATATCAGGGTCAACCACGAAGGCTCATTTCAAATCTAGAAATCACACAGCCAGAAAACTGGTCACCAGATGCTAGAAAGATGCACTATCCCCTTGAATACAAATTTGATACTTTAATTCAGCTGCAAACCCTCCCACCCCACCCCCTCGAATTCCAGTGGCTTTCCAGAAAAGCAGGGCCAGAGGGAACCCCAGGGCAGTTGTAAAGATTCCAGTTGGAAACCTCCAGAAGGCTCCCTTGGCCGCCAGAGGGCGGTGTGGGCCCCCTGCCTGTTTCCAGAGTGTGAGCTGTTCTGGAGCCCAGGTCCCCCACCTCTACCTCTTTGCTCCTCCCTGGCACAGGAGTCAGTGGAGCGGTAACACCTTCCTCCCCGTGCCATGTCACCCTGCCCAGTGACTGGCGGGTCCGTGTCCCCTCCATCTCTGTCATCTCCCTGCACGTGGAACGTGTAGCTCAGGACCTCCAGTCGCGTGTTCTCCAGTCGCGTGTCTGCTCAGGAGTCCAGGCCTGAGCACCCCGGGGTCCTGTGGCTGGCAGGCATGTCACTGATGCCTGTCACTGGGGGCTGAGCCACCCCCAGGCTTTGGGGGTCCCTAGGTAGCAGGCAGAGCCACCCCCAGACTTTGGGGATCTTTGAGGAGGAGGCTGAGCCAACCCCAGGCTTGGGCTGCCAGGTGGAGCTGCAGGAGCCAGGTGGGTTAAAAGTCAGGAACAGCAAGCATGGGGACTGGAAGGTAGTGAAGAGTTGACTCCACCAAGAGGAAGTCAAGGCCACTAGAAGAATGTGCAGGACCTGGAAACCGTTGTCCGTCTCAGGGTCCCAGGCTGCCGGTGTCTGTGTGTCCCCCCCCCCACACACACACACACACACGTTCTCCCCTCAGGCAGTTGGAGTGTGACTTTGAAGCAGTGGAGACCCTCTCCTGGGCGGTGCCTGAGGCATTGTGACCTCCTCCTCCTTTAGACAGTTTGTCAGGGGGAGGCGGGCTTATCTGGGCGGTGGCTGCCTGGGAGGCTTGTGTAACTCCCTGGCTGCCACCGAGCTCTGTCAGGTGTGGATTCCTTGAGAAGTTACCGACAGGGTTTCCTTGAGGACCTCTGGTCCTGCTGCACACATCACGGTGTGTAATCCCTTCTTTGGGCACGCCCACTTTCCAACAGAGAGCCTCTCCTTGGCAGAAGTGGCCGGGGAGCTGGACAGGGCGACCCTGCGGAGGCTGAAGCGGGAGTGCGGAGGCCTGCAGACGCTGCTCAGAAACAGCCACCAGGTGTTTGAAGGTGAGCGCGGGACGGCCGCCCTCCTGCAGGGGCCCAGAGCGCTGCTGGAGGGATCGTGGCGGAGCCTGCAACGTTCTGCCGTGGCGGCCGGGGTGGGCCGAGGCTGCCCTTCCTTCCTGGACTTGCCACGGCCTCTGGTGCAGAGGCTGCTGTCCTGCTGCCATCAGAAAGTCATGTGGCGGGGGGGGGGGGCGGGGGGCATGCTGCGCCTTTGGACACCCGCAGGATCCAAGTGCAGGGCCAGCAGGACGGGGGGTGCTTCCACAGTCTGAGCTGGGTTTCTAGGTGGGTGTGGGACCGGGTGTGCTCTGAGGCTGGTACTTTGGTGTGCACGGGGGGTTCACAGATTTCCACACTCACATGCGTGTGTAGGAATAGGGTGGGAAGAACCAGAGATGCTGGGGGTGGGCCAAGTGGCCCAGCAGGGTGGGAAGGAGCAGCCTCCACGTCCCCGCCCTGGGTCTGCTGCACTCTGGCTCAGGTTCCCATTTGCCCCTCTGCCCCACCTCCTGGCTCTGTGGTTGTAGGCAGTAGGAGGAAGCTGCCCGCGGCCTGCACCAGCTTCTCCTCCATGTCTGTCCCGAGGTGGACCCAGCCTTCTGCGTGCAGGACCGAGGGATGCGCGAGCCCACAGCCTGGTGCTGAGGCCCAGAGAGGAGGTTGGGCAGCAGCCTGGGAGCTCATTCAGGGACAGGTCGCTGCCAGAGGCACTGCTGTTTGTGCCTCTGCCCATGGCCCTAGACCGGAACTGGAGAGGCCACCACGATTCTGTGTGCAAAGCATGTGCATGCACTGCCGTGTGTCCCTCCCAACACAGTGTACACGAGCTGCTGTCTGGGTGTGAGCACAGGTTGCGTGTGTGCACGCACCTCTGAAGACCTGCACACTGCCTTGGGCAGGCCGGGTGCCATTGGCAGCTGAACTAGGTTCCTGGTAGCAGCTGCCACTTGGGTGGGTGCTGCTGGTGCTGGGGGTGGGCAGGCTGTGGAGCAGGCCGGAGCTGGGGGGTGGGGAGGTGGGGGTGGAAGAAGACCCAAGGCGACCCTCAGGAAGAAGTCGCTGGTGGTGCTGGGGGGTGGGCAGGCTGGGGAGCAGGCCGGAGCTGGGGGGTGGGGAGGTGGGGGTGGAAGAAGACCCAAGGCGACCCTCAGGAAGAAGCTGCTGGAACCGAGTCTGTGGCCCAGCCAAGCTAGGCAGCAGTTCTTGGAATCTGCACTTCCTTCCACAAAGCTTCAACCCATGAAAGCACTGCAGCCCCAGGGGCCGCTGGGCCCTGCTTCCCAGCACATTTCCTTTGAATTCGTGAAGGAGTAACTTCTTTCCTTGCTTTGGGTGGGCGGGGACATGGTTAGTGTTGGAATGGCTTCTGTGTGGGAGGCAGCACAGAACTTTCCTTCTAAGAGTCCAGCAAAAATATGGAACAGCACTGGCCTCCCTCTGGGAGGCAGCTCTGGCTTTTTGCTTAATGGGGTTTGTTTTGCCAGTCCTGGGGTTTGGGCACTGTCCCTGAGCTGCTGCTGCTCAAGGTGAGCGCTCTACCGCTTGAGCTGCAGTGCCACTTCTGGCTTTTTTTGAGTGGTTTATTGGAGGTAAGAGTCTCACAGAGTTTCCTGCTTGGGCTGGCTTTGAACCTCAGTCCTCAGATCTCAGCCTCCTGAGTAGGATTACAGGCATGAGCTACAGTGTGGCTGGTGGTAAGCAGTGTGTGGTGTGGGCCGTGAGTGCTGACCCGGTTGCGTGCCTCTGGGGCCTGGGCTGAGGGCAGCTGTCCTGGGGAGGCAGGGACTCCTGTCCCAGTGCTGGCCGGCTCTGGACGCAGGACTCACCCCCCTCCTGCCCCACCTGGAAGATGTGGACACAACTCCGGGGGTGGGGGAGGTGTCCAGGGCTTCCGGCCTTGGGGTCCCACTGCCGGTGCCCCTGTGCCGCAGTGCCCGGGGCCCTCTTTATCCACACAACTCTGCTCTGAGCGGGGCAGGAGGCCTGAGCCAGCCCCGCCTCGTGCTGGCACCGCAGTGGGAGCGGGAGGTCAGACACAAGTGAGCGCAAGAAGCGGCAAAGTGGAGGGCACGCTTCTCAAGGAGAGCCTGGTGGCGGCCTGTGCTCCTGGGGCAGCCCCTGTGGCGCCGGCACGCCCTGCCCCGGATGGGGTCTAGGGCAGGAGCCCAGCAGTGCTGGCAGCCTGGGCGGCCTCTGTGGGGTTCCCAGTGTCCTTAGAAATCCCCGAGCCAGGGCTGGGAAGGTGGCTCAGTGGTAGAGCATTTGCCTTGCATGCTTGAGGCCCTGGGTTCGATTCCTCAGCACCACATAAGCAAAAAGAAAAAAGCCGGAAGTGGTGCTGTGGCTCAGGTGGTAGAGCGCTAGCCTTGAGCTGAAGAGCTGAGGGACAGCGCCCAGGCCCAGAGTTCAGGCCCCACGACCGGACCCAAAAAAAAGAAATCCCCGAGCCAGCAGGGTGGGGTCTTGGGTGGAAGCCCCCCGGAGGGTGGCTGCCAGCAGAGCGGCCTCTGGGCGGGGGTGAGAGGGTGCTTGCCACATAGGGTCCCGTGCCCACAGTGGCCAGCCTGTGTCCTGTGTCCCCAGAGCGGCAGGTCAGGAAGCAGGCTGTGCTGGCGTCCCCGGGGGAAGCCCAGGCCTGTGGTTTCCAGGGCCAAATATTTACTGTCAGCCACCTTTGCCCACGGGCCTGCTGCCTCCCCCCCCTTGCAGGGGCACGGGAGTGGGTGAGGGCGGGCGGCTCAGAGGTGCCTTTATTCCTCCCCGCCGCGCTGTCTGCAGGCAGCCCTGTGGCTGCCAGGGGAAGCAGGAAGGATCCGGCCTCTTTGGCCAGGTTTCCCGAGGCCCCGCTGTGCTCTGAGGATCAGAGAGCCGGGAGGAAGCCCTGGACTGCTCCTGACTCTGGTCATCCCGTGCTTTGATCCCCTTCCCTCCTCTCAGGGGACAGGCAGCCTGTGTGGGCCTCCCTCCTGGGCACCCCTCCCACACATACACACACCCTGCTTTGAGGTCAGCCTCAGCCACAACAGCCTCTCTGGCACCAGCCCACCCATCGCTGATTCTGCCAGCAGCCTGCCTGTCTGTCACTGGTTTTGCAGATGTCCTTCTTGGGGTGTCTGCCTCGGGTCCTGAGGGCTGTTGGTGGATGGGTGCATGGACCAAGTGTGTGGGGGTTGGGGCATGGGAGGCAGCCCAGCCTGCCTGGCACCTGCCTGTGAAGTGCCCTTGAAGACCAGCCACCCAGCACCTGCTTTCCTGCGTGAGGGCCCAGCCATGCTGGTCCCCCAGGCCCGGTGGGGCGCCCAGCCTCCCTGCCTCCTACAGGTCAGCTTGCCCTGGCCCCCAGTAGCCTCCTGCCTGATGACCTGCCTCACTCACCAGGATCGGGACTGGGGTCTCCACAGAGCCAGGTCCTGCATCGTGCCCCAGGGGTTCCTGTGTGGTGGGGGCTTAGGACCGGGCACTGGTGACTTTCTGGGCTAAAGATGTGGCTGTGTCTTCTTTGTTCCAAACCTCAGTTCTGCACGGGCAAGTTCGCATTCGAGACTGGAGACGAGAGCCGCAGAGGGAGAGGCGGCAGGGGGCCTTCAAGACCCGCCTGTGTTGGTTCTTCACTCACCACCCGGATGGCTGTGTGCTGCCCGCTGCCAGCTGCCCATTTGCCCATGGGCCTGGGGAGCTGCGGCCGGCCCAGGGAGGCCGGGCCTAGAGGCTGTGCTCCTGGCTGGCCGCTCCTTGGCTCCTGCTTCCTCTGAATTCCTGATACACAGCCAGAAGCCAGAGGCACTCCCCAACTTGGGACACCCCGGGTTGCTGGGCTTGTTATATTCACAGCCCGGTCTCCGTGGGGCTGCCTCCTGTCGGCCAGCGTGTTTGCAGCACATCTCCTCGGCGGCCCTGTGGAGACCAGGGCAGCACAAGCTGCAGGCTGGGCTGCCCAGGCTTCTTCTTGGCAAAGGTGCTGTGAGGATCAAGGAGTGCAGAGAAGGTGCCCGGGCGCCTGCTGGCATCGGACTGGACGCTGCCACCTTGTCTCCCCTCCCCTTCTCCAGAAGGCCTCCCAGAAATGGCGTTTCCACCTTAAATGGTTTTGTCATTTGTTTGGTTCTTGGTGCTCCTAGGATTTGGACTCTGCCTGCAGGAGTGCTCCACACGGAGCCGTGCCCGTAGCCCCCACGCGGCGCCCGAGCCCCCTCCCCTCCCCCCCCCAGCATGGCCTCACGCGTGCTCCGGCCAGGCCGCCCTCTCCGAGCTGTGAGGAGGCCAGGGGTGTCCCCCAGTACCTGCTGGCCCCCCATGAGCAGCAGGGACGGGGCAGAAGGTTCCTCGGCTCCCTCCCTCCCCAGCCCGCATGCCTGCTGCTGCGCCCCCTGTGTCTTTGGCTGCTCGGTCAGCAAGGCAGGAGCCTCGGCCGCCGCCCACACTGACAGGAGGCAGGAGCCGGCTCTGCGCCCACCCATGCCCTGGCCCGGACCCACTGGGCTCTGCGCCCGCCTGTGCCCTGGCCCGGACCCACTCCACTCCGTTGCTCATTTGACCCGATTTGTCTTTAGTTCTGGATGGTTGCTGGGTGCTGGAATCCTGGAGTGACCCGCGCCTGCCCCCCACCCCACCCCTTGGCCCAGGCTCTTTCTGTGGGTGGCTGGCCAAGTGCTGCGTGTGCACTTCCCAAGCCAAGGGAGCGCAGGCTGGGAAGGCGGCGGCCGCTCAGCAAGGCTCGGCCTCTGGCTGGGAGCACAAGCAGAGGTTCGGGTCTGAGCAGTTGCTTGGCTAGCCAGGGCAGTGGGGCCGGGCCACTGTCCACACCCACGAGTGTTGGGCTGCGGTTGGGAGTCGGGTGGGATGGGTCACACTCCACAAAGCCTCTGCAGAACTGTCGAGGCCGGGCTGCCCCGGGGGCGTCATTCTGCCTGGAGACAAGGCTCTCGCGTGGAGTCCATGTGGTGATGGTCGCAGAGTTGTTGGGTGGTCCCCCCTGAATGGGAGTGGGGACCATGCTGCATCCAGCCTGGTCCTTGGGGCTGGCAGGCCCCTCCCAGTGCCAGGGGGCCGGAGTGCCTTCCCTGGACCAGACTGGGGCTGCGTCCTTCCAGGGGGAGAAGCTGGCCTAGCCCAGGCCCATGGCCTCTCCCCGCGTTCTTCCGGCGCCCGACCTCGGGTGAGGGGAAAGACCCTGCAGCCGGCAGCCGTAGGAGCTGCTGCTTCGCCCCTGCCCTCCGCAGGTCCTTCAGCCGGCACTGCAGCCCCAGGGGGCTGCAAGGCCCCCGGAGGTTCAGCCGAACCCCGGCTCAGCGCGGAGGATTGAGGCGCAAAGTCCTGCGATGTGCGTGAGGGCTGGGACACACGTCTGACCTTGTGGGGTCCCCTGAGCCACGCCACCTGGGCACAAAACGGCCTGAGTCGGACAGGCCCGCGGTGGCTCTTTCTCCCCACAGACGAGCTGAGGGAATCCCATCCAAAGGTTGGAGCCCCACCTCCCAGCTGCTCCAGGGAGCCCCTCCTGCTTTCCCAGTGACCAGAGAGATTTGTGGGCATGAGCCCTGGGAGAGGGAGGGGCCATGCGGGAGGAAGATGCATCTCAAAGGAGGCTCAAAGGAATTTGCTGAGCAGGAAATAATTTCTGGAAAGTTCAATTTTGTGGAATCCCAAATATCCACACCACGAGGACGAGATGTGTGCCTTAGAGGCCTCAGACTGGCTGGCCAGACTTCTGCTTTCCCACAAGGCCGCTGGCCCCAGTGCAGGGGCAGAGGGGTAGCGGGGCCCTGCCTGAGGCTCTTAGCAGGTCAGCAGTGGGGAGACAGCCCAGCCAAGGCTTTCCTTTTTTTCTTTTTGGTCAGTCCTGGGGCTTGAACTCTGGGCCTGGGCGCTGTCCCTCAGCTCTTCAGCTCAAGGCAAGCACTCTACCACTTGAGCCACAGTACCACTTTCAGTTTTCTGGTGGTTCATTGGAGATGAGAGTCTCACAGAATTGCTGCCCGGGTTGGCTTTGAACCGTGATCCTCAGATCTCATCCTCCTGAGTATTTAGGATTACAGGCATGAGCCACTGGCGCCTGGCTCCGATCCAAGTCGAAGTGGAGGGTGTTCGTGACGGGGCTCTCCCCGCAGACACTGGCACCTGCCAGGTTCTTCCGATGGCCAGGGATGCAGGCAACGGGCAGGCCAGCCCAGTGGGCACTGCCTAGTGCTCTGCGTGCCCAAGAACCACAGTCCCATGCCCGTTTCCCTGATGACTGATGCTAACCTTCCCGTATGCTAATCAGCCACATGCATTTTTTTTTTGAGAAATGACTAACCAGATGATCATTGTAAAGTCAAATTATGTTTTTATTTTGAGTTGAAAGGTTATTTATATTTGTACTCTGGGAGTCAGACCTATAGCCTATGGTATGCAGCATTTTCCCACATTCACTGTGTTGCCTGTTCACATTTTGTTTTAAATTATTGTAGGGTGCTGGGTGCTGTGGCTCAAGCTGTAATCCTAGCTACTCAGGAGGCTGAGATCGGAGGATTGAGGTTAGAAGCCAGCCTGGGTAGAAAAGTCCTTGTGAGACTCTTACTCCAATAAAACACTCTTTTGAGTGTTTTGGAAGTGGTGCTGTGCTGCAAAGTAGTAGGGCACTAACCTTGAACATAAAAGGCTCGGGGACAGCGCTTGGGCCCTGAGTTCAAGCCCCACAACCAACAAAAATCTATAGCACGTTTTAATTTCTTTGGAGTCCAATTTTTCAGTGTTTTCCTTATGTTACTTTGGATTTCATGGTTGGGAAATTTGCCATATCTGAGGTCACCAACATTCATTCTTAATGCTTCTAAGTTGTTTCCGTTTTAGACCTCTAGTTAGTTTTTGTATATGCTGTGAGGTAGGAATGTGAGCTGCTTTTCTGCGCGTTGCTCCATTCCTCTTTGTTTAAAACAGTCCTTCCCCTTGAGCCATGAGGGTGCCCTGAGCCTGGCCTTCTCAGAAGCTAGGATTATAGTGTGAGCCGCCTGTGCCCAGCCTTTTTTTCTTGTTTAATAATATATTCTTGAATTTCTATCAGAGAATTCCTGCATCTGCATCGTCTTGGCATGGGTGGCAGCTACCTGCCTTCCCCTTGTAGCCTGAGATTTTCCTGGTGCTTAGGGGTTCAGGTAATTTGGGATTACATCCTGAGTGTGTAGAATATGGTGCTCCAGGGTTTAGTTCAGCAGGGGATGGGCCCAGCCTTGTGTGGGGGGTTCAGCTGCAGTTCTGTGTTCAGCCTTTGCTGTGGCCAAGATGACATCCATCTTCTGCAAAAGGCCATCATCTGCCAAGGCTCAGCACAGAGGCCAGGGTGGTTTGGGGGCCTGTGGGGCCGAGGCGCCTGCAGGAGCTCATGATACAACCTTTGCACCTTACCCCGTGCCTGAGGGGCCCCAGGCACAGCTGGTGGGTGGCCAGTGTGGACAGAAGAGCCTGCTTGGGGCAGCCAGCACCAGTGGAGCCAGACGGCCCCTGGCCCGTGGCCAGGGCTCCAAGGTACTGGGTGTAGTCACACCCCACTGGGCTGCTGGCAGGAGCCCAGGGCTCTCAGGAAAGGCCGAGCCCCTTGGGATGAGCAGGTGTCTTCATGGTCTCCACCTCCAACGGTGCGGAGGGATCTTACAAAGATTTTGACCTCGCCGCTCCCTGGCTGCTCAGAGTGAGGCTCGGGGCTGTTGCTGCAGTCTTTTAAGGAACCCCCTGGCCGCCAGCCCCTTCCTCTTCCTCTTCCTCTCCTCATCCAGCCAGCCCTAGGCCTGGCCCACCTCTGACCACCTGTAGGCCTTGGAGGACGTTCTAATCCTCAGCTGTCCTGTATTTAAAATGGAGGTAGTAATATCTGCCTCATGGGCTTGGAGAGAGGACTGAACAGGGGAATACGGGCAAAGGCTTTGCATGGAAACCTGGGCACACAAGAGCTTATTCCATGTATATATCCTCTTAATTACCACCACAATCCACATCCCCATTACCAACACCATCACCACCACTACCACCGCCGTCACTACTACCACCATCATTATCATCACTGCCGCCGCCACCATTACCAGCACCAGCACCAAACTACTATGATTACCACCACTGTTTCCACCACCCAATACCAATATAAACACTGTCACCAAACTACTATGATCACCACCACCATTTCCACCACCCAATACCAATATCAACACTGTCCCCACCGCCAACATCACCACTGTTAGCATTGCTTCTACTACATCACCACCGCCAGATGCCAGTACCATCCATGATGATTCATTGTGTCGTTGGCACCACCATTACCATCGTCACGCCCCTAACTGCCTCCCTCCTGTTCAGCTGCTCATCTGCACCATCTCAGCGCTCCTTTGTCCTCTGAGTTCACGCTGTTTGGGGGTTGGCTTCTGCTTTGTTTCCCGACTCCACGAGAGCTGACCCCGCGAGGGCTGGGTTCACCCCATACCCCAGAGATCCAACTGTCCAGCCTGGGCCAGCCTAGGCCTGTGCAGGGAGCTTCTCCCCGTGGGCTCACTGCAGGCGTGGGCCGAGCAGGGCCCCGGCTCTAGTAGGCACCTGCTGTGTGCTTAGGCTCAGTTGCTTCCGCTTGTTTTATCCTCCAAGGACCCTAGGAAGATAACCCTGTGCTACTGCAGATGCGGGATCCGGTTTAGGGACATGATGATGCATCCAAGGTCCTGCGGTGACCAGCATCCGAGCCAGGGCCGCTGGCTCTGCCACACGCTGGCTGCCCAGGTTGGCACTGTGTCTGCAGCAGCCCCGAGTGGAGGACCTGGCCTGGGTAACTGATCCTGACTTGCTGTCGGTCCACCTCTTCCCCTGGCATGACCCCCCCCCCCAGCAGTGCTGACCTGCCTCCTCCTGGGACAGCTCCCTGGATACATGAGCAAAAGTTTCAGAGTTGGGGGGGGGCAGCAGCCACTGGAATAGAAACAATGAGCGGCTTTGTGGGGAGCCAGCAGCTGGAATTTGAGCTCTTTCCTGGATACTTGCAAATAGAGCCCCACTCTGGCCCCCGCCCAGGGGTGGCGTGGGGGTGAGGAGGCACTAGGGAAATGTCGAGCGCGTCCCTGCAGCCAGGGAACTTCACCTTGTCCTTGTCCTGCCAAAATGGCCACCAAAGGACTTGGGAGAGCCCCATGGGGGG